CTAGAGCTGGAGCGGGTGCAGGTGGAGGAGCAGGAGGCCGTTGAGCAAAGGACCATGATGCTTGGACCCACCGCAGTCGGTGGTACGGGCCACAGCGGTCTGGCTGGGTTTTCTGCTGCTGTGCCTGTCCTCACGCCGGTTCAGAAGTGAACGCACGCACGCACGCACGCAGGCGCGCGCAGACGTGTTTTGTACCTTTTAGTTGACACCGCGGACTATCCTGAGTGAAATGCCGCCGCCATTTGTATGCAGCAGTTTTTACCTCTCATCTAAGGTATGAAAGTAGGCATTTATTGCTCCTTCGTTCTTCTTAGCCGGGCCAAGTCGCAGTCATGCTGGGAATCTCCATTGAACACTGAGCGTGCCTGGAAGGGATCCGACAAAGCAGAGGGAGACCGGAGTAGCCATTTCTAGCTTGTTAGTCGTCATCATCCACTAATACTCAATCTCAAGGGTGGGAACCCCAGATATTCGAACCCGGGACCTTTGATCATTAGGTTCACCACTCTACCATTGCACCACGAGCATGCCTAGTGCCCAAGTTCTTCCCGGAAGAGCTGTTGGGGAAACCGCAAGTGAACGCCGCCATCCACTCACTTTAGTTAAGATCAGTTTTTCTACTGGCTTGATATAGCATTATTTGGCAACATACAACCCATTAAGGAATTGATACTTAACGTACCATATGAGTGACTGTGAGTTTTGTTGAAAAGAAGAAACCTAGCCCATAGAGGGTGCCATATGCACCGTCGACTATTTTTCCTCTGACCACTTGTAACACGATCCTGTCTGAGGTCGCATCACTGCTTCGATTGATGGACGGATGTGAATGCGTGCATTCACGTTGCACTGCGTTTCGCAGACCAATGGTACTCATCGAGGGGGGGGAGGGGCGATACTAGACGTTAAGACCACCATATCCTTTCTGAAAGTTGAGAACTCGGTGACTTACAATCTTGAGGAGAATTCGGAGCAAAACGGATCCTCTCACGCAGACCAGAAGAAAGCATAGGACCGAGCCCATGTCTGAATGAGGACAGTTACCTTGTGACAGTAAGATGTTTCGCAGTGCTTTCTTGGCGACTGAATGATCTATATCAGAAGGGATAGAGAAGGTCGTGATCCTTTCAACAGTTGTGTGCTTGGTGGCATTGCCGGCAAGGACAAGGGTGTCTGGAATGGACATTTCTAGCTCATTGGTCGTCACCAGCCAGTCATACGCGATATGAAGTGGTGCTCCGCCCGGGGTTCGAACTCGCGACCTTTCGATCGGAAGTCTGACGCTCTAACCATTGAGCCGCGAGCTCGTCTTG